GGGAGAGGTTTGCTGGGGGTCTGGCACTACTAGTGAGGTTAGACTCCTTCCGGTCTCATGGTCTTAAAATAAGTGAGGAGAATTTGCTACCTTTCTATATCATCAAGAAATGGATAGATATTCTAGTCTTCTCAGATAAGGACGAATAAACCATAGGCCCCATCTCCTGCAGGGTTAGGGGTGGGAGACGTTAATTTCCCATGCATGAGATTACTGTGTGGTGGATGTCCTCCCTTGGGTGGGATGGGTGGTGTTGGCCCTGAAAAGCCCCTATGGGGAGTGGTCAATTAACCTATGTATGCATGTATGTATGTATGTATGTATGTAAAGAGAGACATCTATCAAACCCTTGCCATATAAGATCCAAAGTGGAAGTAACTTGGCTCTTATGAAGATGCACCCTGATATCATCACATCAAACGGAGAATGAAACATTAGTCAGAGCTTTTGTGAATCATTCCTGATAACACAGTCCCTACACTTCTTCAAACTTCTTTCAGGTCAGTAGGCAACAGCAGAGATCCATGGAGCTTTGTGATCATTTGGATCACTCAAATAAAAAGGTGCATCAACAAAGATAAATATTATTGTTTAGTTATTATTACCAGGCCTTAACTTTGGGTGCACAATAATACATGAAGCATTATAGGTTATGTATTGCGTGCAGAGAGATGTCAACACATCCTGTCTTGTTGTCTACCTGCTCAATTTGTTTTTCTTGGTTTAAAATTTTCCACACCAGTTTAATCAGTAAATTCCTTTGTCTTGTAATATTTTCAAAATATAAAACAGAAGGAAACAAATAAAAGTGGTTTGATAATAGTGCATGTGGAGTTTATACACACATAATCTTTAAACTCTCTGTTTATTTATGCCAGGTGATGCAGGCCAGATGTGGTTATACTGGGACATCCCAAAGAACTGCTTTTGTTGACCTCAATGATGTCAGTAGAAAATTAAAGCCACTGGAAAGACCTCCTCTGAAATTTGTAAGCTATTTGAGAAAATTTGTCCAAATTAAAGCAATTGCTACAATTGCATCCATTTTTTCATGACCTGTGTTAGGCAGGTTACCATTCCTTGTCACAGATGTACATGCACCTCTAGTGCTGTGTTAATGACATTCTTTTTGGTGAAATCCTAGAATTTTTAAAAGACTGAAGGTCTTGTTTGAAATTGGACGCTATATAGGCCTGTCTGCCTAGGAATTTGGAGAATTTTATCTTTCACATGAAAAAGTAGAAAGTATTAAAAAAAAAAAAAAATACAAAACATATAGAGTGAATACCTATGGGACTTTTCACAATAAGGTTAATTATTAAAACACATAAGCTCTCTTGTTTAAAAATCAGACACTATGTATACCTGTTTGCTCAGGAGAATTTTATCTTGCATATGAAAAAGTAGAAAGTATGTAAAAAATACAAGACATACTGAGTGAATACCTCTGAGACTTTTCAAAATAAGTTTATTATCAATCTCTTTTTATTATTAGGAACTGCAACAGCACAAGGAAGAAGTTGAAGGTAAGAAATATAATTTACAAATTGTGTCACAAAGAATTAATTTACAAATTGGCTTGATGATTATTAGTTTTATAAATCCTTTTTCACGACAGATTTGGGCTATAGCCAATTTCATTCCCAAGCCTCACTATTCTTTCTTATTTTAAACATGACACTGTTGATTTGTTTTTTTATCACAATACCGCTGACAATATAATTAAACTAAAATTTAAGGGCATGACACGTTGCGTGACATGTTGACTTGAGCAGTGTTGTCTGTATGGGTTAATCAGATTACAGCATGGCTGCCAATTGTGGTAAAAATTTAATGTTTCCCTACTGCTGTTCACCCTGATGTTTGTGTATTTGTAGATGAAAAAGTTACAAAAGACAAGGAACACTATCAGAAAATTGACCTAACAAGATTGAGTGCTTCATCAGTAGGATCTTTCAAGTTTTATAGAGAATTTGATGGCACCACTTCAGCAAAGTTATCAAGAACTTCAAAACTTGGACATCAGGGAATCCTAGTCACTCCAAGGGTAATGAAATATTTGATTGTACAAAGGCTGCTAGTGCTAATTTATAAAGGCTGATAGTTTCTAAAGAAACTGTTTGGGGCTGCGTCGGTGGGGGTAACGAAATAATTTGAATATATCAACAAAGTTGAAATGGTAAATTGGCCACCGTTAGGGTTATAAAAGCTGACGTTTCGAGCGTTAGCCCTTCGTCGGAGCCCTTCGCTCCGACGAAGGGCTAACGCTCGAAACGTCAGCTTTTATAACCCTAACGGTGGCCAATTTACCATTTCAACTTTGTTGATATATTCAAATTATTTCGTTACCCCCACCGACGCAGCCCCAAACAGTTTCTTTAGAAACTATCAGCCTTTATTCAATAAATAAGATAAGCTTCCTACTGATCGCAGGTAACAGGCGACGACAACCAAATCTGTTTGCTGTGTGTTTGTCAAGTATCTGCGAACGCTTCGTGGCTGACTCAGTTTGTCTCTGTGACCCTCAATGTATTCCTGGTGTTCGTGGTGGTGAACAGAGACTTTTGTGCAAGAGTTTTAGGAACTCAAGTGGGTAAGTAATACCCTTCCAATGAGCTTCTCTATATTTTTCGTTTCTTTTGTTTCTGCATCAACAATTTCCACCCTCAAATGTTTCCTAACAGATTTTGCCTTACTCCGTCATGTCATCAACAAAACTGATGTTTTTGACGATTTCGAGTGTCACCTAGAATGTATTAGAAACAGACGTTGCAAGTCGTGTAATGTTAATCCCAATGGCAATGATGCGGGTAAGCGTGTTTGTGAGCTGAATAGCAAAACCCGACATATGACGCTAGGTGATTTTAAACTAAAGAAAGAATCTACGTACTATGGCTCATTTCAGGTAAGTCAGAAGTTTAGTTTTCATATGCTTATATTCATTTCGAATGCAAGTGAGGCTAGAATTTGTATCAATTCATCCAGGGTAATTGTGTCGATGTTTCTCATGAACGAGAAGAACGAACAACGGCAGGTCAGTGTCATCCCAGATACAGAGGAAGATGGTCTCAAAGACGTAAGTACCGTTAAAACTTTTACACGGCAAATAATCATGGCAAAATGCATGTTTATTTCCTTTTTAGTGATTGGATCGATTTTGTATATAATCCTTATATACTGGCCTCTATATTATTCC